TAAATTACAGGAAGCTCTATCAGATGGTGAAATAATTTTTAAAGAGTCTTTTGGTCCTTGGCTCAAATTCAATAAGTACTGTTTGTATACCAAGATATGTGAAATGTAAATGTTGTAGGTTATATTTCACTCTTGTAGCTATAAAAATGTAGAACAGAGATAGCTTGTACTACTGAGTTAACAAAAGTTATACTAAAGTATCCTGTTAAAGAAAAAAGTATACAGAGAGTTAAGCTCGTTGCTGTAACCCCTTTTGGATTGAAGTGTGCTGATTTTTTATATATATATATTTTATATATATATATTCTGCAAAAGTATATATATATATAAAATGTATACATAAAATGGCCTAATGCAGACATCCATTGTATTGCAGTTATGAAATGAAGACATTTTGGAAAGAACATTGTATCATAGTTCATGAATTTGCAGTGGATCTTTGTTCCTTTTTACTGTGGTATTTTAGAAATGAGTCTCAAGTTTGAAATTAGATCTGCCAAGTTGGAGTTTTGCTGCTTCAGCTTTGCACTGGGTGTCCGAATAAACCAGTATGAATGTAGTATTTGCCCTGTGTGAAGCAGCTACACCCCAACAGATAGGAGGAAAAAAACTAGAAAGAACTATTTCAAGTTTATCTTTTTGTATATGAAAATAAACAGTAAATTACAAATAATTACTTTTCTTGTTGGTGTGACCTTGAAAATCATTGTTACTTTGTTGTCTTTGACATCTAGCTGGAGAATGTTTTAGTGTTTCAATCGCATCTTTGCTATCCAAAATCCCTAACAAAATGGCTGCAGAGGCATAGCTGAGGCCTGGTACTACCCATCATTTGAGAACTCTTCCAAAGGGAAGAGGGAATTAGCTTGAATGACTGCCTCCTTTTAAGGGTGTTGCCTCTTGCAGCACTGTGGTAACATTGCTTATTGCCAGTGAAGAACTGCTTGCACAGAGCATTACATGCGTATTAAGCTGTATCACTACGAAGTCCTGTAACATAGCTGCAACTGCCAGTGATGGGGGGGGTGGGGGTTTAAGCTCCCCACCCCCCCTCCCCGCCCCTAAAGCCGCTCCCAAACCCGCTCCCAACGCACGGAGCACCCTCCTCCCCGCTGCCTCCATCCTCGGGTGCCCAAGGGGGCCGGGAGTTCCCCGAATACCCGCGCCAGTCTTGGCGGGGGAGGAGGTTATTTGGGAATGCTAGGCTGTAACTTGCTTCAGAAACGCCGCTTCCCTTGCTGTACCTGCTCACACCGAAGTGTTGGTGACGTGAGGAAAGCGGTTTCATGCGGTGGCCACGATGGCTGCAAATGTTCCGCATGGCAGTGGGGAGCTGAGAGCAGTCGTCCTGTGTGAGCTGGTAACGTCTCCATAATACATACATGCATCTCTAGATAGTTATGTTTACGTTTAAACACACAGTTCAAGTCAGACCATAACTAAATTCAGTTACTGATTGCCCTGTGTTCTTCGGGGAGACAAGGCCAGCACGAGTGGTGACTGTTTGCTTGGAAAGGCCCTGGCCCACTCGCCGTGGGGGCTGGCAGGAGTGTGAGGCACGGGGGGGAAAATCTGCGGGCTCTCAGGGTTGTGAGGCATGGGGAAAAAACGTGAGGGCTGGTGGGGGTGCAAGGTGTGGGGAGGGAGCTGCTGCGGGGCACAAGGGCCTGGTGGGAATGAATGGTTTTCTCTGCAGCCTGAAGGTTTTAAAAGTACTGGAGAGTTGGAAAGCACAGGAAGAATGGCTCTAAAAATTTGAGTTGCTGTCAAACGGATGGCTGGAGGATGAGGAAGTCAGTAAAACACGTGTAAATACTCCTTCATGAGAGAAAAATGTTGCATGCAAAAAAAGAAAAATATTCTCAAAGAGAAACTTTCATTCATTCAGCAGAGTGTACACATTCCTGGCAAGGGCAGGACTTGCACTTGTGCTCAACTCATACATCTCAGTTTGAGAGGAGGAATGCAATTTCCAGCTCTGAAGGATGAAATCTGAGTGTTGGTCTCCTGTGTCAGCAACTCCTTGTTGCCTGATTTGTCCCCAAATATCTGATTGTCTTCCTCTGAAGGCCAGCCCAGAGCGATTGCTTAGTAGATACGTGTTGGCATTAGAGTAGATGAGTTAGTCCTAGAGCTGAAATCCTCATGTGAGGACAGAATGGAAAGCACAGTTTTTTTGGTTAAAAGGAGTTTTACTGGAATGTGCTCAATATTTTTTTAGGAATTGTGGCAGTAGCCTCAAGTAGTTCCTTATACAGTATGTTTACATCAACTGAGATGCTTTTCTTAATGTCATCAGTGATCACATTTCATTTTTTGATGGCTTTCTGTTTATTTTTCTCCTTAGAACCAGTGGAAGAATCTCTGCTGGAAAAATATGGCTTCCCTGAAGCTGGAACAGAGACCAGATGTTACACAAATCATGCACTGTCTTATGACCAGGCAAAACGGGTGCCTAGATGGGTGATTGAACATATCTCGAAACAGAAGACACTGGGTATGTATAGATTTATTTACTTACATTTATGAAGCCCAGAATGGGCTTTGCTGGTCACAGAAAGTGGACCCAGGAGCAGGCAGGGAGAAAAATCCTATAGTGATCTCTAGGTATGGATTTTTCCACCCATTCACAATCCCACTGGAGGCAGAAGACATCTAGGTGGATGTCAGCTTCATGACAGGGTTAAGGCTGATGTTGCAAGTGATTTAAAAGAGAACTGTCACTTCAGGTTGGCAGGCCTCTTCAGTATTCTTTCTGTTGGTGGGACTAGTCTGGTATTGAACGTACAGTGTCCTGAAGCCTTCAGGATACACTTGGCCCATGGGCTGAGTATGAAAGGGACGAATGAAGAAGAACTAGAGCTACCTTCCATGAGAAATGTCTGTTATGAATTTATGAAATAGTCTGTAAGCACCAGATCAATATAGCCATGTTGGTGTAAATACTCTTTAAGTCATGTTACAGGAGGGAAGCTTAGCTTACCTCTTTTAAACATGAATGGAGAAAAGATGAAACACTGAAAATTTCCTCACCTGATTCAGACCTGCAAAGTTCAGTGTTATTACTCAAGCACATAAAACTTGCCCTTGCTTTCTTAGCTAGTATAGTTAGTTCTGTGGTCCAATTTATATCAGTTTAAGTACTGCCCCATATGTGTGAATGCTTGTGGAGTCAACACCTTTAGTGGCCAGACTGTTTCATCTACCAATCTTAAAGAGATTTTCTCAGAATGGAAAGAAAAGATGAATGTCCATTTGTGAGATAAAAATGGAGCAAAGGGCATCAATAGTTGTAATTGAGTAAAGCTAGGTAGGGCATTACCTGCTCACTGCAGCCATTATTTACTTTGATGCAGTTCTGTTGTATTTTCTGATGTGCATTATCTAATACTCTCTCCTCTCTTCTTAATGCAAGACAGAGACTCAGTGATTTTCTTGCTGTCAGTAGTGAATGAAATATGAGTGGTATACAGTCACAGTAAATTAAGTTTATAGCATTAGTTCAGTTTTTATAAGGGAAATTATTAGTAATGGAGGTAACTGTATAATTGTAAAATGTTTTATGAACGCAGTACCCCTCTAAATATATCTTAATCACTGTCTTCAAATTACCTTTCAAAATTAAAAGCGTGATCCTGAAAATATTTATAACCAACCTCAAAGTAGCATCATTGATTGCACTTCTTTCTGAGAAGAAAGCAGTAATTCCAGGCTTACTTTCAAGTGGGCCTTAACAGCAGAATTGTTAAAATGTTTTCTAAATGATCAGATACAACTGACATTCAAGTTAAAGCATCTTGAGGCATTCGGCTCTGATTTATAGGATATAAATATAGGCTCTTATATTTATAGAGATTTGAAGCAGAACTGTGTTTTTCAGGGAAGGTCACAAAAGCCTTCCATATCCTGAAGTTTTGAAAGGATATGATGTAAAAAAAAAGTATTTTAGTGATAAGAACTCGAATGTTTAAAAAACATAGTGGAAAGAAATTAGCTTGACATGTAAATGAGGTATACAAAACTGGTTACAGAAGAAATTAACTGTTTTTATCAAAGCAGTAAACAGAGAATAAATGACTATATATTTTTCAATTTTTCAAGTTTAATTGATAAATTACACTGTCTTAAATAATGAGATTAAATAGGATTTTTTTAAAATCAGAATTCTGTCATTTTGCACGCTAAGAAACTTGTCAGTGTTGCTTCCTAAGCATCAGTCCTGTGTTAAAGTATCATGTCACATACTTTACCAAAAAACGACAAGAGAAGTGAAGCTCCTTCCTTCTCCCTGCACTGTATAAAGATGCTCTGACCACCTCTCTTTTGACGTCACCTCTGTGGACATATGCACAGATGGTCAGCAAAGAAGAGTAAATAGCTTATAGCCACTGGTTTCCAAGAGATGCGTTATCCATATGCATGCTCATTTTCCACCCCTCCCCTTCTTCCTTGTGGTTGTTGCATGTTCTTGTTCTTGGGTTCTTCAGAGAGCTGCCAAGTGGAGAGCATGTACCATGTTCTCACTACGGAGCACAAGGAAGTGTAGGGTTCATATGCGCTCAGTGATAATACTGATGTGCCAAAAAGGCCAGAGTGCGTGCAGTTTGTGTGTGTATACACAGCCAGCTATAGAAGAAAGAATAATTTTAATAGCTAGCAGTGATCACTACTGGAAATTGTCCCTCATGTTGTATTGCAACAGGAAGTGCTTTATAAAGTGCCAAGCTTGAGGAAAGTTCTCTGGTATGTACAGGTCCTGATTTATGCTTAAATTAAAAGAGACTATATAATGGTCCTGTATATTGCATCTGTACAATTATGCCTTAGGTGACACACTGAATTTTATAAAGAAAAAAAATCAGTATGCTGTAGATACTTTGAATTATGTTGTCATTTGTGAAAAATAAATTGTGGGCAACAGTGATGGTGCTCTAAGCCAGTTGTTTTCTAGCTCCACACTGTGCTGCTGCCTGCATGGAGCCATTGCACAGGCACAGCTGGGATAGGCTTTGCACGTGCCTCTGCTGCTTCACTGGAGCTCCTATGGATGTTCTTGGTTCCTGGGCCATTCCCTACGAAAGATGATCTCTTACTGGAGGTTGTCAGTGCCAGAATAATTCATGAAAGTCTCTTCTGGCCATTGCTTTTCCAATGAAGTAGTCAGTGTTTGGGATGAAGTGGTCTTAAAGTTGCAGCCCAGTCAGTAATATCTTTTTCAAGGAGTTGACTGAGATTCTACACAGTTCAAGAATGCAAATATAGGTGTATGGCCGGTAAACCTGGGATGAAGGCACAGGCTCCCCAGGAAAGACAGCAGCTGGGCTCTCTTTGAGAGTGGGCTGCCATCTCTCCAACAGTTAAGTTAGGTCCCCTCGCAATCCTCCCCCCAAAATGTTTTGTCTAACAAAATACTTAGGCACAGTCATTTTTGTGCATAATTACCAAATGTCTGGAAAGACAGAAGGAGAATCTTGGAAAGGAGCAGGAAAGCTCTACACTTATTTCTGTGCCCATGAAGAATAAAACACTTAAGATTTTTCTCTTGAATGGGTTTATTATTTTACCAAGTGTAACTTTATCAAGATATACCAATTCTACTTCCAGGCTAGAGTTGAAAAAAGAAAAAAAATACTTGTAGTGGATCAAACAAAAAAATGGAACTGCGGCTGGTGAAGATCTGTATGTCTTCGTTGTCATAAAAAGTGAATCTATACTGGGTTATTTCTTTAGCATCCTTGCCTTTAATGTTAATCTGCATTTATGATAAGACTAATATATTTTGGTTTTGTTTTTTCTCTATAAAACACCATGTTATAATTTCTCATGTGTACTGGAAATTAATTTAGGACTGGAGCGCAGATATTTAAACTGCATTCTTCTCTTGTATGGTTGAGGAGAAAAATGCTCAATTTAGATTAACATATTGAATCCTTAAGCATGGGTCATTTTTCAAGTTATGACAGAACCAGTTCTTTTTCTCTTCTTGTTATGACAGTTTAATGATAACCTAACAATTTTGTGTGTTATTCCTCAGGCAATGCAGACCGAAGGCACTGTAAATTCAAACCAGATCCTAACATCCCTCTAATGTTTAGTGCTGTCAATGAAGACTACCTTGGGAGTGGATGGTCACGAGGACACATGGCACCAGCGGGAGATAACAAATTTTCAACAGTAGGATTTCTTCTCTTTCTTTTTAATTTGTGTTTATCAGTTGTAAAGGGTCAAAAGACCCTTAAAAGTAATGTGTAATGTTCCTTTTGCAGTTTGTTTTGAGATGGAACATGATCTCATTATTGATGCACAGAGCTGGACTTGGAGTTACAAGGTCTATTCCTGACTGAGCCCTGTAGGATGCTCTCACAGTCTGCTTCAGGCATCTAAATCGGGTGCATCCTCTGGTGACACACCTCTCTTCATTAAATCACACCTAGATTAGCTTGTTTGACAGAGGTGATGTGAGTATATCTTGTACAGTACAGTTTTAAGCAAGTCTTCTAACCTCTTCTATGTCAGATTGTCTACCTGTAAAATAAAGGTGATAACCTTCACCAAACAAACCTTGAAAGTGTCTTCTGAAGCTCAGTTAAAGGGAGACGGGGAATGATGACTTGACTCTGGCCAACAGGTGCTGAGATATTTAAGGCTAGATTGGGCAAAGCAAAGATGCTGTTAAGTACTGTTCTGTATTGGCAAGGGGATTGCCTGGATGATTTAAAAGGCTTTTTCCTTTCTGGCAATGTGTATGAGGTAAATTAGAACCTTCTTTTGCCGTAGTTCTTTCAGTCTATAAAATGTCTTCACCTGCCATTTATTTGAGCTATAAGAAAAGCATGCCCTAATGCCTTGGCTGACTAACAAAGCAGCCTTGGATTTATTGGATCCTCCTGTGAAATGTGCATAATGCAGCAATTTGTCAATTAAGAAGCAGTTTGAATTTGTATTTCTGCTAGGCAGAAGAGTGTGCAGTGGGGCAGAGTGACAGTGTAGTGGCATGTGGTAGATGAAAGAACCAGTCATTTCTGCTGTGGTTATTTATTTGTGATATCTGGGCAGTTCTTGCTGATGAGCTACCAGTTCAGGAGAGATTTTGGACCTGACTTGAAATGCAGTGAAATGATACAAACTTTCAAATACAGGATCATAAACATTTAATTTCACAGTTTAATTAGTGCTGATAGTGTTTGTTCATTATTCTAAGGAGTTCTGTCAGCCCCTTCACTTTGAAGAAGTAGTAAGTGAAAAGTATTGACAAGTACGGGACCTATGAAGATGGTGGGTTAAGATCTAGAAATTTTTTCTCCTGTATTTTCCTGCATATATGACCAGCAGGTCGAGGGAGGTGATTCTCCCCCTCTGCTCCTCTCTCGTGAGACCTCACTTGGAGTACTCCATTCAGCTCTGGGGCCACCAACATCAGAAGGACAGGGACCTGCTCAAGAGGGTCCAGAGGAGGCCACAAAGATGATCAGGGGGCTGGAGCATCTCCCCCTGTGAGGACAGGCTGAGAGAGTTGGGGTTGTTCAGCCTGGAGAAGAGAAGGCTCCAGGAAGATCTTATAGTGGCCTTCCAGTGCTTAAAGGGGGCTACAGGAGAGATGGGGAGGGACTCTATCAGGGAGTGTAGGGATAGGATGAGGGATAACAGTTTTAAACTGAAAGAGGGTAGATTTAGACTAGATGGAAGAAATTCTTCACTGTGAAGGTGGTGAGGCCCTGGCACAGGTTGCCAAGAGAGGCTGTGGCTGCCCCCTCCCTGGCAGTGTTCAAGGCCAGGTTGGACGGGGCTTTGAGCAACCTGGGCTAGTGGAAGGTGTCCCTGCCCATAGCAGGGGGGTTGGAACTAGATGATCTTTACGGTCCCTTCCAACCCAAACCAGTATGTGCTTCTGTTCTATGATTCTATATGTGTAGTTTTTTAGCACCAGGTTCTTTGCATCTGGAGATATGTGGGCTTCAGTTCAGAGAGGTTTATGAAAATTTTTAATGATAAAACTAAGCAAATATGTAGATGTTTTACCATTATGGTCTCATAAATCATCTCATTGCCTGCATGCTATGTATTTGTAAAATATTGATGAATAGTTTTAGAAAAACCTTTCCTTGTAAGGGAAAGAAAAAGCCATTGGGCAGTCAAATAAATGAAAAGCATGAGTTAAAGCATCCTTCCTATTCAAAAAGAAGAGTAGCTAGTTGCTCCCAAAGAATTGCAAAACTGATACTAGGTGACATAGTAATTCCTGTGCCTCTAGAATTTTATATTCTTGTGCTATGTTTCTATCACCACCACCCCACCCCCCAAAAGTAGATACATTTTGTAAGGTTTGCACCTCAGTTATGCACTTCTTAATCCAAAATAATTTTGTAGATGTTCTGATTTAGGTTTTATCTGACCTTTTAAGTCGATAATGCTAAGATTAAAATAGAAATGGATTCTGATCCAAAAACTTCTAAAATGTGTTTTCAGCTTGTAAATGTTTCAATGAAATTATATTACTTTCTTTTTCTATGCAGAGAGCTATGGCTGAAACGTTTTATCTGTCTAACATCGTACCTCAGAATTATGAAAATAATGCTGGATTTTGGAACAGGTGAGAAATTGCTTGTAAGTAAATTAAGTGAATATCAGGCAGTGGCATAAATAAAAAATGCTTCTTCACATCTAAGTATTCTAGAGCATTTTGTAGGCTATCTATAGACACCATAGGAACTTTCTCTGAAATGAAAGGGAGCTCAGTCCTCACAGCACAAGAACAGTAAAATGACTGCTTCTGTATTCCGTCCAACTGTAGAGGACTTCTGGCTGATGTGGGTAAAGGTAGCAGGCTTAACATCTCTGTCCTTAAGGAAGATTCAGTAGAAGCAAGGAAGGGATTTAGATCTTGTCTTAACATCTCTTCCTCAAAAAAGTGCTTCCAGTGTGAGAGCGTTCACATCTCTTTATGTGGACATTGGTTCAGTTTGGAGAACTGAGTGCTCCCCACTGAGTCATGACTACTTCAGGTCTTAGGTGTTTCTTCAAGTGCTGGCTTCCAAGCAGCAGTCAGGCAGGTTCTTCATCACTTGTGAGTGCCAGCTGGAGCGGCTTTGAGGTGAAGTGAGTGACTGATTAAATTTAAACTTTATTCGTGTAAGATTTTTATTCTGTCCTTCCTTGAGCAGAAAAAAACATTAATAAAAGTAGCATTCATCCAGTGCTTCTTGCATAGGACTTACAGAATGTTAAGACTCAGGTGGGGAAAATGATAAATTTCACAGGGTCCACTCAAGGGAAGGTTAGCAAAATTATGTACAGTATTGTACTAAAAGTCTATCAAAAATACATCATCATTCAACTACACACTGCTTTCCAGTTTTACAAGAATCCATATAAAATCATATGAGGCATTCAGTAAGGTTATACTGTTTTATAGACAAAATGCTGTAACATTTTAAGACTTTTTTTTGGTATTGTTTTAATACCTCAGGTATTTGAGCATAAAATTTCCTTATACTAAAGCTAGATATTTGTGCCAATTCAAGGTTGGAAACCCTCTTTATTTCCCTTGAGTAGGATCTCTGCCTATTCAGAAAATCATGGGGAATGTCTGAAAATTTCCTCTGGCACTATCAGCCTCACAATTTAAGCCGCTATTATCACTTTCTCCCAACCCCAGCACCCTATCCTCACAGTTTAAATATATGAACAAGGTATTTGTGCCACTTGTTTTGTCAGCCAATTGCTTAATAATAAATAGTTTTAAGGGTATCACGTTTCACATTTGTTGTATGCCTTCCTGGTTTTAGTACTCTTTCCCTTTTTTTAATTGCTTGCTTCTTCTGAGGTGCAGGTAGACAACACAACTTAGGTTAATGATCTGTTATTTCTTAAAGTGGTGTTCGCACTCCAGCAATGTTTTTTTTCTGCTTTCCCAGTTCCAGCTCTGGTACTAGCCTGACTATGGCAAGTCAGTTCCATTTGCTAACCCAGTTAAACTGATTTGCATTATGTTTTGCTTGGTTATGTTTCTGCCAGATTAGAAAATTGGATCAACTGGTGAGATCAGTGCCAGAGCCATCACGGAAGATGGAGTAGGACTGTTCATCTGGGGCAGACAAGGGGAGCAGTAGGAAAAGGGAGAGCAGAACTTCATCTGTCAACAAGCTGTTAGATAGTAAGCTATAAGATTGGTTCAGTGGTGTGGTCTAACTGCACCTTGGTATTTATTCCTCATTCTCTTCCCACCAACATGCATGCTTCTTTCTTTGTTGATGTTTAACTGTTATTTTCTGTCTTGTATTGAGTGTGATTTCTTGGTCACTGTATTCTGATCTCTGTCCCTGCAGCCATCAAAAGCACTTTTCTCCACCGCTGCATTTATTCCCGTTCTTTCCTTGTGCCAGGTGGTGTTTGTATTGCCATGCCATGAGACAGCGTGAGGAACTGAGCTGCTTGGAAGCAAAGCTGACAACAGCAGGAAAAAAATTAGCTTGTGGTCAATGCTTTGGTGTATCACATGGCAGCTCACTATTACCAGAGAAGAAAGGGCTCATTCCTATTAATTTTGATTCATGGGGCTCATTCCTGCTAATTCTCATTTGTGTGAGCTGATTTAACTCACCCAGCACAAAAAAACCATCCTAATTTTGTTCAGGGTTGTTGACAGATTAAGAGTGCTAAAGGTGGCCCAAGTGAAAGGTATGAGGAACGAGGATGAGACAGAGCTGGGGGAGAAACCTCTGCCTTTCAGAGGCAGCCAGATTAGCTGGACTCATCTGTCTCTTGTTCTGCTGTGTTTGTCTGTTTGAGTGAAGTGCAACTCTGTCTTTAGTAAAGGACCGATGGGTGCTCACTGTATGTGATTTCTATAACATCTGGGATGTCAGATCAAAGACAGGCTGTAGTCTTTTCTTTTATGTAAAATAGGTGTGATCCAGAAACCTGATTTGGATAAATATTTTATGCTGTAAACTAAATCAGTTAATTTAAAGAGCAAAAATACTACTATTTCTGGAGTTACTACTTTGTTTTTAAACAGTTTTATATAAAGAACCCAGTAAGTAGACTTGGTGGCAATGTCATGTAGAAACTTTCTTAAGTACTTAGAGCTGTGGAAAGAGCTGTATGTTTGTTTCAGGACATTGATTCCTTAGGGAGGAACATACAAATCCAGTAACATGGTAAAACCCTTCAAAGTAAGAATACCACCAACATGCTATTTAAAAGTATTTCACTTATCCCAAGTGACTTATCAACAGTATCTTTCTAGTGTCAGGTGTGGGAGTAAGTAGAGAACTCAGGTTTTTAGGACAGGTGGTAAGGCCATTTTTCACATGTGTGTGATTACACATGCCTGTCTGTAAATAAGGACAAGTGGAAAGTATGACATGGGCCTGTGTTTTACCTTCCTTGGCTTGTGAGTCAATGACATGAGTTTGGAAAAATGCTCCCAAACTGTCAGTATTTCTTCATGCCCTTCATACTATGTTTCAAATATTATGTTGTTTTCCTAGCTGACTGTACCCTGTCTGACAAATATGTTCCAGAATGGAAATGTATTGTCGGGAATTGACTGAGAGATTTGAGGATGTTTGGGTAGTTTCTGGACCTCTGACCTTGCCTCAAACAAATGATGATGGAAAGAAGAGTGTTACTTACCAGGTATGTGTATATGTTGCTGGGTTAACAGTACAGTTTTATTTATTTATTTATTTATATTTTATTTATTTATTTATTTATTTATTTATTTATAATTGATTCTATAGCTTGATAAAACAGTTGAACATCCTAGTACATGCAAAATATATGAGATGTCCAAGACTAGTTGGGATGAGTTCAGTAGAGGTGTTCTTTCCTGCCTACTCTTGAAAAAGTAAAATTTTAAAATAATTTGGTTTATTTCCAAAGAGAGATCTGTTAAATGTCTGTTTGCAATCTGCAGTAAACTGTTTTCTGACTTCTATAATACATGACAGTATCTAAGCAGAGAGTTAGTGGGTTTTGTTGATGTATAAGCATCTATTCAATCATTTATTGATACATTTTAGAAACTGCAATACAAAGCTAATGTGGGTTTCTCAAAACTATATAGGGTATTGGAATTCCTCTGCTCCATTAATTTCAAAAGCAGTTTTTTGCTGATGTCCCATATGCATCACTTAGATGAGGCCTTGCAGCCGAGATTCTGAGCTACCAAAGTCAATTGAAAGACTTCATTAAAGTTCAGTAGGTTTTAGGTGAATGCAGTGTATTCACTGGTCCATGGTACTGATACACCCCCTTCTTCTTTTGGTCCCCCATTTTTATTACCTGCTTAAAATACTGTGAAGATTTTAGGATTTATCGTGCACAGCCTAGAAACCATCACTGATAGACAGATAGGAAAGGCTGTAAAGTTGAGAGGTGGATTTACTATTGCTTATCCTGACTTAGTCTTTGTAAGCATGTGTTTAGACATCTGTAGGATCTGAGAGTAGTAAGGTATTCAAGGGAGGAAGTATTACCTTCTGCCCCTACTGTAATGAGATGCTATTGCTGTTTTCAGTTGCTAGATGAAAGCTAGCTTAAAGCAAATAATAAATGCTGTATTTTGCACCTCTTGAAAAAACACTCTTCCTGTAAATAAGTACTTGGATCAACTGTAGCTTCAGCTCGTGAGTGATTCAGATGTCCAACTAGTTCTCTGAGGAGCAGTGAATGAGCTTGCTGTAACAAGCCCCTGTTTCAGAGGGATATGAGACACAAAAAAAGAGAGATGTTCAGCTTTCAACACCGGCTTGTTCAGTGATGAGATTTAGGCACTCTTTCTCCATTATAAATACACAACTGATTTCTATTTGATTGAACTTGGAGCTCAGTCATAATAGAATGTAATTTTTCGTGTTAGCTTTTTATTTCTTGAACAACTGTCCCTTATGTCTCCACCCGCACATGTCTGTAACCTCGACTGTGACAAAATCACTACCTTGATTTGGAATTTGTTGTTATTTTTTTCCAAAGAGTCATATGTTATGCATATGAAAATGCAGTAATAATAATTTATCTTTTTCATGTTCAGTGGCTGTTCCAGATTTCAGTTCTCACCACATCTTTGTGAGGATGGTGACAACTGTGCTCATTTTCAAGTGGATAAATAAGATGTGGTTAAGGGATATGACCAATGCCACATGATAAGCTAGTGGCAAAGTCAGCTGTAGACTGGCAATGGTTCTTTGCCACCCAAAGGGAGAGTGCTGACTTCACTCTTGCCCATTATACTTTCCAGTCCTTCCTCTTGTCTGCCAGCGCTTATGACTGTCAGATTCTTCCATGAGAAGATTCTTAATTACCCAATGCAATAGCAAACCAGCTGTACTGGACTCTTTTATTTGTTTCCTGGGCTTGTTTTCCACTGCCATACAAAGATAGAGCAGCACCAGAGAATTCCAGTGCTCACTGGTGACAACATGAGATCTGTCCAAAAGCACACAGCTGGGAGCAGGAGGGAGATGTTCCGTTTCAACAATCTCAAGCTGAGCTTTTGGCTTACTGTCATGCAGAATGGTACCATAAGAGTTCTCCAGGCTTGCACATAGCTTGCTGGAATTTGCCTCCTTGTAGTTGTTAGGATATTGCACTTATTTTTTATCCCTAAAAATATATATTCGTCTTACATAGCAAAATTTAAAATCCTGAGCTGACTTGAACATTTTATAACTGGAAATTATTTTCCAGGAAGCAGTTGTATCATCTATCAACTGCTTCACTTTAATCTTGGTCATCTTTGTCTACTTTTTCTTTGGGGAAAGTGTTTACTTAGAAGAGAAAGATTACCTTTTCTGAAAAATGACTGTGGCTCTCCATTGTGGTTTTGAAATGTAAATTTTAGTATTCCACAGGTAAAAACAAGAACAGTCACTGCATCTTGCTGCTTTTATTCAAAATACCAGGATACGGTGATGGAATAATAGTGGCACAAAATGTCCACGCTGCTTTGATTATCATATCATTCTGTTCTTGTCTGTTGCCAAGATGTCTTCATCATCTTTGGGTTTCGTGACAGCTTTGGTCTTTTATGAATGTTTCACAGTTTTGGTACAGCATAAGATTGAAAAAGGTGGCATGATAGTATTTGTGTTTTCGTTTCACCATTTGGCCACATTTATAAAGCCTTTATTCAGTTTCCTACGGTGAGGTTCACAATGTAAATTGATTTGCATTCAAGCTCTATTTAAGTACAGATAATGCTGTCTACAGGTAGGAAAAGTAAAATGTTGATTTGAGGCATTTTTTTTGTTTTAAGTATTAAATTATTTGATTTGGGTCTTCCTTTGGTTTCACTCCAAAGTGTAAATAAGTACAGGCTGAGAATTGTTTTGTTATTTTGAAATATCTTTATGGCACAAGTTCTTGTGCTTGCCTTTGAAGTTGTCTGTTGGGGAGGGAGACTTCAGAATGGAGTAGAGTGGTCTGTTGGGTTTGGGGTTTGTGAGTGAACTCTGCTAGGTTCAAGCAAGTGACTTAGAAATGAAAGGCTTTTAGGCACTATTGTTTGGGCTTACGAAGCTGATATGAGAAGATGTCCTTTTTCTTTCTGTGTACTGTTTAAGGAGAAGTGCTGTAGTATACACAGCAGTGCTGAAACTTACAACCTATAACCTGGCAATGTGACTGTTAAGGCTGAGCTTCTTTCTAGTGTTTTTCTTCTCTGAGACTAGAACTGTGGAAAAAATAAAACACAGAAGTACTACAGTGAACATGTCTGCATTGATTTGTTTCAGATCCTCTTTTCAATCTTAGTTCCCTTGGTTTTGGCTAAAGGAGTGGTGAAATACGTATCCATGGCTTTACAGGCTGGTGTTTTTCTCATCACACATCCAAAAAGGTTATTTTTAGATCACTATAGAGGAAAAACAGAGCATCGGTCATGGCATTGTTCCCAGTTCCTGCTTGGACTCTGGTACCATTTGCTGTTTAATTCCAGAAAGGGAATTAACCTTGAACTCCTTAGATGCCAGCATTGTTCTATCTATTGGCTGAACTTGCTGTATCCTCAGATATGTTCTGTCATTTCATCTGTCTCCAGTGGAGGCTTTTATGCAAAGAGTAGATTGATGACCGTGCTTGGTATCTGAAAAACATATTTTGAGAATATATGTAAAATAGAATGCCAACAGGAAAAATTTCTGTGTCATTGGAGAAGCAGATGTAGGTTTTTCATCTTTGTCCAGACCAAATCAAAATGACATTGTCTTGGTTTTTTACTGTTCTCCAGTGACTGTCACTTTAGTGATTTTGCTCTGTCAGCAGATCTAGAGTTTGAAATATAAATTTTGCAATCATTCTACTGCATCACGCTCAATGCTTCACCCTTCTTATTCCCAATTCCATCGTAGTAAGTATTAATTTAAAGATTGTCTATGTTTGGCAAATGAAAGTACAGTTTAGATAACGTTTTGTTTGCTGATGAAGAAGACATTTTCATGTACTTTTTAGTGATGTACTAGGTTCATAGTGGCATCATGTCTGCTGTTTAATTGTCAAAATTGAATGACTAGTCTGGGCCAGAGATACACAGTAACTGTACCAGAAGATATACTTAGTTGTGATCTGGTTCTGTGGCAAATAAGTCCCTGGGAAACAAATTGCACCTCTTATATTTAAGGTAGTACTTAATGGTTTTCCCCAATCAGTTTTCAGAAATAGTAGAAGTTTTCTCCTAGCCAAGATACTGTAGGAGAAGGAATCTGTGTTAAAGGAGGAAGTAAATCTGGGGATTATTACAGTTTGTTGGCTGCTCCAAATGAGCTCAAGGCTACACAGGCAACTAATGGACCTAGGTCCATTATATGTGTCCCATAAAACTTACGTACAAAGGGATCTTAGATCAGCTGGTGTAAACGACTAGAGCTCTGTCAGCCCTAAATTTAGACATGATGTACAAATGAAAGTAATAGACACTGGGTTAAGACTGGAGGAGAAGAGACACCAAAGGTGCAGGGTAGATTTATGAGGTTGCTTTTATTTAGCACTGTACCCATCCTGAAGGTCCTTTTGTTATAGGAAGAGTGGTGATAGGGACTGTAGTGGAATCAGTGTTAAGCAACCTAAATGGTTTCTGTGGAAGTAGTAGTCTGTCATCATGTAAATACAGTATCATAATGCATAGACACACCCTCTTTATTAAAATAAAAAAAATAAATGGGTTGAGGTGTCTTGTCTTTTAATGCCATAACTGTGTATTTAGGCTCATCTTTTTTTTTAACATCTTTTTTTAGGATTTTTAGCATCTATTGCCAAATCATTTTGGCAATAGCAATCAGACCAGACATAACAAATTAAATTTTCCTGAAGTTACATACATTTGCATTTTGAAGCGCTTGGCTGTGCAGTGTTGTTGCAGATTGTTACTGTGATTTTTATCTGTATTGTTTTCTATTTTCTGTATTGCTAGGTCTGCCTTCACACCCCTCAGTTCTTCTCAATGCCATCTGACAGTTCTCTCAAATACTGAGGAAAAAAACACTATCAACAGAATCAGTGCTGCATAACACAAATCCAAAAGAAACTGGAGTGAAGGCAGTTAATTCTGTCACAATGACCAAGTAAATAAAGTAATACTGATAGCAAGAGGAATTTTTTTATACTGCCAGAAAGTCTCTTTCTATACAGAATTTTGTATC